CTCGAACATCTAACATGTAAAAACATGTTAATGCAAGCTGTTTGTATGCATAAATCTCTACATGAAAAAGTGAGTCATTTAAAGACATTCTTATGAAAATACAGTGTCGCTGTCCAAAAAACCCCAAAGAAGCATCTCCATTTTTTTCATTTTTCTTCCTCTACGTCATTTAACGCAGCAGCTGTGTTAAAAAGTTTATGATGAATGGATTAATAGAAACGTTCCAAAATTCAAAAACTGGTCCAAGCCGGAATAAAATCTCTTTGCATGACCTCAGAAGTTAACAACATTCTTGCCTTCTCCTGTAAATCTCCTATTTTTGAGATTTTCTTTCTTTCAACAGAAAATAAAATCCATCTAGCAGAGATGACCGATGGATTCTGATCAATTTCACACCACCGCTCTCGTATGGGATTTCTTTCTAGAGCCACTAGTACGTGGTTAACTCGGCCCATTCATGAGTTTACAATGGGCCCGACTGTGGCTTTGAATCATTAAAAGGTTGTAATCCTCTGCCATTGTGTTTAGAAAGGCCTTGGCTTTTTGGTCGTAACCTGTGAGGAAAAAAATGCCAACAGTCAGTCCACTCAACTACTACCACACCTTTAGCAAAACAGATTTAAGGACTGAGTAAATGGAGAGGCGCTTGGATTACTGACTAAAATGAGCAAAGCAATCTTCACCAAACATCATGTGAATGGAAAGAATACTCCACTGCTGAAATGAAAAAGAGGAAAACTGTGAGAACTACAGATAGAAGAGCTTTTAACTCACTTTAGAATGACCGATGACGTTCCGACAGTTGAAAGGTAAGCCAACTGTTGAACCACTAGGACAGGCCTGCTGAGGTTAACTGTTAACCGATCTTCACTTGGGAGACTTGCATTTATGTCCACTCTATACATAATATTCCTTCAGCATTTAGTGCAAGACTTACAAATCAGCCTGGAACACTGACGTCTGGATTTGGCTGTAGGAGACAATGGGGGAAGCTTAAGTAGTTGTGACACCACACATATGGAGGGAGAAACATCTAACAGACTGTAATACACTACAGGAAGTGTAGGGGGTGATATGGCTTCTATTGTTTCATTTGAAAAATGCTCTATAATGTTCAACTAATCCACACAGTCATTCTGACAGACTGTAATACACTAACAGGAAATGTAGGGGGTGATATGCCTTCCGTTGTTCCACTTAAACAGTGCTCTATAATGAGCATATGATCCAGACGGTTATTCTGACAGATTGTAATACACTATAGGAAATGTAGGGGCGATATGACTTTCATTGCACCATAAAATGAATAAATTCTTGTGGTGTAGATGGAACTTCGAATGATTGCGGCTCTGTGACGGGGCAAAGTGAGAAGAAACTGAAGAAAGTATAAACATTCAAATCAAAAATTAGGCCGTAGATTAATTGCATCACTACTCTGAAATATTTGGTGGTTCTACAGGCAGAGCTCACATCTTTCTCTAAATCCAAACGTTTATCCAGTAACTATTTGTATTTTAGCTGAATATGTTCTATTCAAGTGTAATTTGAGTCAAGCAGATGCAGCTTAATTCAATCACTCAGACTAGTAGCAGCTTAGAACCAGATGCTGGACACAATGGCCTTACTGTCTGAAGGGGCAGATATCTGGAGTGTCTTTGAGTGGAAAGTCAACACTCTTAAACAGACGGAGACAACGGTAATAGGACGACCTTTAATTGGACATTGCGGGCTTTTTGACTTTACACAACCTCATAATGAGCAGAGAAATATTAAACTGTTATTACTTTAATCTTAAAGGCCAGATAATCACCAGGGTTGTGGTCTGTTGCACCTAAACACAACTGATATGCTGACACTTTTTAATCAGACATTTATTTTTCCTAATCAAGAAGTAAAAGAGAACCTATCAAAATGATTATATCATGATAAAATATATATTATAAAGGCAATATTAGAACATCATGGATAATTTGATGTAGATCTGGTGATACATATGCATTGATACCTTACTGATTCTATAAGACAGGAATGTATTAAGGAGAATTCCCAGAAAGTATGTCACACAGTGCCACTTAGTGGCTAGTTAGCTTTGTACCAAGGGTATAAAAAGGGTTTCAGGGTCCATCTTGGTTCCCATACCCTTACTTACCCATACACTGTCATTTTACAGAAACAAAAACATTCTTTGGAAGGAGGAAAACACTTTTTGTTCCGTAAAGAACCCTTCAGTTTTAAGAACCATTCAGGTGGTGTCACAAAAAGCCATTTTCATAATATTAGCTAGCTTGGTGGCTAACTGGCCAGCTAACACTAACATTAGCTTGCTATTTAGCTAGCTGCTAAACTCATCAGGCTAACTAGATTCCTGTAACAATCTGCACAGAGCTAGCAACCATGTTAACAACAGTTCAGGAAGTCTCACAAATCAAGGTTTTTTCACTCTGTTTAGGCAGAAGATTAGCAAAAACATGCTATCAATGCGCACATTGAGTGCTTTGTTGGTGCTAAAGGACAATCCTGTGTGAATCTACAGTTAAACAAAGGGTCATGTAGATTTTCTCCTTTATTTACTGGACATATTAAGCTAATATACTATTAATCCACAGTTAAGCTAATCTTTATGCAAATTCAAATAACATACTCTGGCTAATTTACTAGCTGACTTCAATGTGGAACACTTTAAAAAGATGGTTCTTCTAGGGTTTTTTGGTAAAGGGTATGGTTCTATTTAGAACCTTGAGTTCTATAAAGAACAACTTTATTCTTAAATGGTTGCATGGTGAAACGGTTCTTCAGACTGATGGAGAATGTGTTGTATATGCCTCTATATAGCACCAACTTTTTTGAAAATGGTTCCATATAGCACCAAAAAGGGTTCTGCTGTCAATCTTTTTGGTGCTATATAGAACCATTTTCAATGTTCATCTCTCATTTTTGCAAGGTTGCTTTGCTGACAGTGTCTTAAATGAGTAAGAGGGTTGAATTTAGCATAGAATTACCAAAAGGAGATGTGGCCAGAGAACTTGTAAAGAGGAGAATTACCACTCTATAATATCTTCTGGGGTTCTCAAATGCTAGAGGGCGCTCCCGAGCAAGTCCAAAATGAATAGGTTAATATGGAGCATTTGAGCAAAAAGACTAAACAGCATGAAACATTTTAACACTGCTGTTATATTTTTAAGAGCTTTTGAACTCGAGTTATAGGAGTTTAAAACGGCACCTTATTTGTGTTCATGACACCTGTGAGCGTGAACAGCCAATGAGCTGCTCCGCTCACCAACCAATCAGCACTCAGTAGCAGTAATGCTAGCATTGTACTGCCTAAAACCCATTTTCTGTAGAGAAAAATAAAACATACAGGTGAGTTTTCTTTGCTTTTTTAGCGGAATACTTCCATCTACTTTCTAAAATAAAGTTCTGGGCAAGTGATTAGAAACTATTTAAACTTTTCGTTTTTAGCCATTTAGCTCCATTCACCCCATTCACTGAGGACTCGCTCATGTTTCTGATATAACGGGGGAAATAGGAAGAGGCCAGGCTCTGATAAACCGGCTCTGATGTGGCTAACTAGCATTCATGCTAATGGAATGCACACATTAAGGACATTCCCATGGTTTTACTTTTTTTATTTATACACTTTTCCATACATATTTATAAATGCAATATTAGTGGGACAGAAATTCCTCATGGGATCACCATACGTGATCATGTAAAGGCGTAAAGTAAGTGTGAAGAACCTTTTTAAGGTTTAAAGACACAAAACAACCTCTACTGGTACTGTAAAGTTTCTATAGTAATTACATTTTTTTCCCAGGAACACCAAGCCAAGAATCATTTAGCAAAACTTAATTTTAAGAGTGTATGTGACCTCAAGGACCTGAAAAGGTTTGAGTGCCCAGCTGGTCCTCAGAGGGTACATGCTTAAAAATACAGTTCTGAGCTTTTTATTCACTGAGGTTGATACAGTCTGAAAGTATCTGTAAACTGGAATTTAAAGAAAAAACTACATACATTTCCTACATAACCAACAGAGCCTGATGTCAAGCTGTGCAGCTTCTTCTGATAGACAAATCCAGGCTTCTAAAAGCACTGCTCATCACGATCAGCCACAGAGAGATGAAGATTTATAATATTTATACATGGAGGTGACTTTATTAAAGCAGTAGACTGATAAGGAAAAACATAAACCCCAAAAAACCCTCACTTCTCTCCATACAAAGCAAACATATAATAAAATCATCATCATCAATATCATCCACAAACATTTTCACACAGTCACATCATGTTGATGAAATAAATTAAGCATAAATTAGACAGGATTTTTAAAAAATAGGGTTGTGCTTTCACATAGAGGAAAATAGTCTAAGACAAACGATGACTGAATCAAAAAATGAATATTCCCAACGTTTTTGGTTGTTATCACTGCTCTCCTCAGTTTTATGTTAAAAGTGAATTCATTAACTTCATAATTAAATTGTTAAGATGTAAACAGAGTCATCCAAAGTGGTTTGGTGTGAAATGCTCCATTCTAGAGAAATATAAAGAGTCAGAACTGTTTACAGTGGTGGTGATAGGAACCAGACGTCCACCTCTAAAAGCTTCCTCACAAAAAGTTACTACATGAAATGGTTATGAATTCATGCCTGATGACTGAGACACTGTTTTACAATAGTTTTAAGATGTAAACAGAGTGATTCAGAGTGGTTTGGTGTGAAATGGTTCAGATGTCTTTACAGTGGTGGTGATAGGAACCAGGTGTCACCATGACTACAACACAAATATAGACATTTTATTTACTTTAAAACCACCAGTGAACCTACACGTGTCTTCTGAGTTTTACATGTAATGTTGATGATGGTAAAATAGTGAAAAACCTGAAAAAAAAGGGTTTTATTTGGGGACTATTTTGCCTCACAACATCCTGCACCTGTATCCCTCCACCATGATTGGATTTTAAGGAAGGCCAAAATCTTCTCAAAACTATTGTAAACATCTGGTTTCTATCACCACCACTGTAAACAATTCTGACTTAGTTTCTCTGCAACGGAGCGTTTCACCACTCTGAACCACTAAAAACTGTTTACATCTTAGCTGTTTAATTACACAGAAATTCTGAAAAATCTGTTGGCATAAAAACGCAATAAAATACAATGTTTTCTTATGACAGTGACATTATGTGTTTGTAGGTTTATATGTGCGTCTGTGTGCGAGTATATGCATTTGTGTGTACGTGCTGTAGGAGGTAGCAGTGTGCGGACAGAAGTCAGTCTGACCACTCGTTGTCCTCCAGCTCAGAGTCGTCTTCTGAGTCGCTGTACTCTACAGCGATTCTCCTGGACAGTATAGTGGCCACGTCGTTGCCCACCCGCTCCCTCTTAGCCTGCTGCTCCTGCTGCTCCTGCACCTTCTTCAGCTGGATACCTGAACATTCAGACAAATAAAACACATATTAAATGCATACAAATACATATAGTTATAAGTAATGTGTAGACTTTTGCCTTTAAGCCCTTTTAAAGCAAAATAAATTTAGAAACAGAACAAGCAGCAGAATTCAGCAACTGGAAATTTTTGGACAAAAAATGACAATGATAAAGTAACAATGCTAAACATTTAGGCTGAAAAAGGTGCACTGTTACCATTTTTAAATATATTTAAAAGGTTTACAACAAAGTGTCAAAATATAACACAATTTCACTGGCAGTGAAATATGGGTCGCTTTCTTTGTACTCTTGCACCAGTTGCTGGTAAAATTTATGCAGGAGTGTAAAAAGTATAAAGAACATCTATAGAAGTGAAAGTATAAGTACTGTTTGTAAATTTTATTCCATTAAAAGAGGAAGTATGGAACCAAAAATATACTTAAGTGAAAGCAAAAAAGTAGCAACATCTAAAGCTACAGTATGTAAATTTAGGGGATTTGGAGACCTCTCTGGTGGAAATGTGTAATTGAATGCAACAAGCACAAGAACATTTTGTAACATGAGCTGTACTTTGGTCCTCTTCCCCAAGCGGATTTTATTTCAGGCTTTACAGGGTGAATCACAGCAGCACACGCTCACCATGTTTTAGCCTGTTTTTAAGTCACTTAAAAACATGCTTCACTATATAAAAGTAAAAAGTAAATACATGTAAAGAATAAAGAGAATAAGAATAAATAAAAAGAATTTGGTTTGTTTGGTAGTGTGTGGTACACCAATTGGTGTTACAAGTTCTCGCACAAACATGAATAGCTGTGGGTTTAATTTTTTTTTTACTGATATGAGTTTGGTTGAATGTTTTCATAAAAAAAAAGAATAATATGGAAACTTGACAGACTGATGAGAGAAAAGAAAAACCTCCTGTAGCCACCTGCACCAGCTGAACGTAAGTTCAATCATAGCATAGTTTGAACGTAACCTGCCACTATGTTTAAGTTTACGAGCTACTACAATTGAATCGGTTGCACCAAGTAACATAGTTTCAATGTAGCTTTAAGTTACAACTTAACATGTACACATACCCTATAGTAAGTGTAAGTTCTGCTGTGAAAATCATTGTCCTGATTGTTAAAATGACTGGTCGATTTGATCAACGGGAAAACATACAAGGTCTCGGTTTGCGTCGGCCACCACTTTTGCAGGATAGATAGACCCGTTTTTGTTGATCAGAGATGGAAAAGATCACAGACCTCCTGACCATAGATTTCCAACACAACACAGACAAGATCGAAGCCCTGAGTCCTACTTTGTGTTAGGATCTGAGATATTTTGCTACAGGGTTTTTCCAAATCAGGTGGGCAACTCTATTCATGTACACACGTCAACTGTGTGCACAGCAATAAGAGCAGCTCCATCAGTGCTCACGTGGTGTGTTAAGCTGACCTTATTATCATAGAATACATAACGCAGATTATTTTTAAAATATAACTATCATAGCTAACATTACCTTTTTGTTATTCAGCAAATTCAAATAGCGATTACATTAATCATTAATTACAGATTGTTCATTGATAAAGTGTCGTTAAAATATTGTGCATGAGAGCCCAGTTTGAACAACGGAAAAATCCCAGCAGCAGGACAGAATAAACACACATACAAGAGACGGACGCTTTGAAAACACCACTTTAATATAAACACAATCTCCTTCTGAATTATAGCAAATATGACCATCATACTTTAAGCAAAGCAAACGTAGCATGAAAAGAGAGAAATGTCACTGCGTGTGGAGATCATGCGTATTGTTTCCTGTTTATGTCGGGTAGTGTTACTGATTGACTGCAGAGTAAAAACGTTGTTCTGTGCATCAGTGATTTGATCTACCATCACTTTATGTTTTACTAGTTAAGATGTACTGTAAGTGTCTGTGGTGCAACCAAAATTCTGTGTGTCGCTAGTTTTAAACTAACTACCCTCAACACAAGCTTTAGGATGGACTCTACATGCCAACTTATGATCGAACTTACATTCAGCTGGTGCAACTGGCTGCTGGTCTTTGAGATGTGTAATGAACACTTTTAAAGGTCTAAATAAAAATGTAAGGAGCAAAAAAGTTGAAAAACACTACCTGCCCTACACAGGTAGCATTAACACAGGTTATACACACTCATTCAACACTGTAACATACACACACTCACCCATACGTATCGCAGATAACAGGTCACTGCGGCCGTCTGTGATTGGCTGGGATTCACGTCTCCGCCCTTCTCCCGTTCCCAACGGATGAGGCAGAATGGGAGGAGCCGGAGGTGGAGGGGGACCTGGAGGAGGCGGGGCCACAATTGGCCCAGGTGGCGGGACAGGTGGGAGGGGATAAGATAAAGCTGAGTTGACTGGTCCAGGATGTGACGTGGGCGGGGCCGGAGCCATTAAGGGTGTGGCAAAAGCAGTCTGCGATGAAGGGATGAGGGGACCTGGAGGAGGAGGAGGAGGGGGAGGAGGAGGAGAACCTGAACTAGCATAATATTCCATCATACTGAGAGAAAGAGATTGAAGAGAGAAAGAGAGATATATAAGGGAAAACAAAGAGGAGGTGGAGTGAGGACAAGAAGCAAGAGAGAGCATGAACATTAATGTAATTAATCAGTTCGTCAGTGTACATAAAACCTTACACGATGTAAAGGACATCCCTTCCCTAATTGGTCCAACTGTAGCTTAGCAACCATGACTAGGCCTGGCCTCCTCAGACGATCTTTCAGAACTACAAAATGCCACTTTTTACCCAATATTCCAAGAGTGGAAAGTGAATTATTATCCATTTCCTAAACTGCAATGCCAGTTAAACCAAATCAAGAAGCACACAAAACATATACAGGGTCAAGGCCAAGTCTGCTAACTAGCATGTCTGTCTAACTAATGAAGTATTTCTTTGTTATCGTTAACTCACTGGATTTAGGCTGTGCATTAAACCTGCAATGTAAACACCAAAAGGCTTGGAGAATTGGAGAACAGTGACAGCCTTATCACTGTTTGCCAGCTTGCTCAGCTAACAGTGGAAGTATTTAACAAGACCCAATGGGACACACACGCTAAATATCATTCTTTAAATCCATACTCTCCTGGGTGGTATGTAAAATTTTTGAGCATGTAGCACTAGCGCTGTAAAAGCTGCAAATGATGCAGCGTTTACATGCACTTAATAATCCGATAACTGCAGGAAATCAAATTTTGTCAGCAATCCGATCAACTCCTTTACATGCTCTTGGGTAATCAGATGATGAGGAAACTCCAGGTCTACATGAATCAGACAGTAATTGGATTTCTGCTTTGCAACCAGCCAATAAACTCACATGACTCAGACGTGACGTAAACCTGTCGTAAAACTCAAACTTCATGCTGAGTTTTTTTCATAAACATCATGCCACTTTACCTGCAAGTATGAACATACATCATTGAGAAGATGAAGAATATTTAAATCCTTCATTTCGTCAAGCATATAGTAGACTGAAATCCGAAAGAAATCAGAGTAAGAGTTTACATGCGCTGAGAAATCTGATTACTTCACTTTTAATGTAAGTCAGTGGAACCAGAATTTTGCTTTTTTTTTTTTGGTCCATTCATCATGAAATTTACAGACAATGTAAAGAACAGGCATTTTCAAATTATGTCAAAAACTGAAAAACAATAAAAATGGAGATTTTCTTCCGACAGCAGCGACTTAGACAAAATATTATTGAATGGAGAAACTGTGATGCTTTATGTATTCACACAGGATTCTTTTCTCCTAGCATACTGTCATATCATATAGCCCTGATATAATCATTTATTTACCTACCCTGCAGAACAGAAACAGTGCTGTCTTTTATTTCCATGTCATCTCCATGTATTGCTATATTTTTGGCCTCCATCTGTTCACTTTAGCCTTTTTATTAATAGTTTTTATCCTATTAGGCTGACAAGAGATCATGATGATAGATATATGGCCTTTAACTGCATACTGGTGACCTTTCTGTCTACTCCATTGATAAAATATTTGATTCATTTACGGGGTCAACCCTTGCCACAGAAAAAAACTGCATGGTTGTCCAAAATTATTTCCAAAGCTTGTCAGACATAGCAACAGTAACCAAGGAGGGGGCGGCTAAGCAAAGTCAATTCGTTAACTGACTAATCACAGCAAATACTTTTTGCCTAAATAAACTTTCTGTCTAACACTGCTGTATTTCTTTTCTTTACCTGTAGTCTGCTGGTGGTAGCGCGATGCCATTGATTCCCCCCTCAGTGTGGGTGTGCATTGGAGGAGGTGCGCGTGAGCGCCCGAGTGTGCCGCCTCTGTAGCCCCCCAGAGCGCCTATGCCCACTCCCACACCCACAGGCCCACCGATGCTGTGGTACTCATGCTCTACCCCTCCACTAGGATTGGATGAGGCTACTTCCCCAGGCATAAATGGGTGAGAGTGGGCATGACCAGGCAGGGTGTGGGCGTGGCCTGTTGGAACAGAGTAGTCTGCTATGTCGGGACAGGGCAGCCTGTTGTAAAGAAAATGGACAGACAAATTTCAAGGTGTTTCACTGCCGAGGACATCACTGGAAAAAGATACACTGCCTAGTCCTTTGTTTTGTTGATGTCACCTCCACCCTCTCAAACTAACTTACTTAAACATAAAAACACAGAAAGTTATCATATGAAATGGTTATGATTATGCAGCCTGATGTCTGTGAGATTATTTTATGATTGTTTTGTGAAGCTTTTAGCCTAAAACATGCTTATTTTTAAAAATGTATTCATGGTGGAGGGGTAAGAAACCTTATTATACCCTATTATTATACCCTATTATATATATTTTACCATCATCAACCAGTGGTGAACTGTAACTAAGTAAATGTATTCTTTACTGTACTTAAGTAGTTTTTTACTTTACTGAAGTTTTTCCATTTTGGGTGACTTTTTACTTTCACTTCACTACATTTCAAAGTCAAAGATCTTACTTTACTTTTACTCCACTACATTATGAGAAATCTGTTGTTCCTTTAACATGTCAAAACGAAAGAAGCACGAAGCAAGAACACCAATCAGGGCACAGCGCACACTTTGTTTTGAGCTTGTTTTGACCTGTTGGACATACCAACCCAGTGCAAGCACACGGTTCAATGTCAGTGCAGCAGCGTAGATAGAAATATAGAATACTCATTTGTGAACCTGTGATTAAAGCAAGTTTTTATTAAACTTAAACTTGTAACTAAGTTGCAAATAAATCTTAAACTGAAACTTTGCTTGTTCACAGAAAGTTATTTCAGAGCCACTCGGTTCTACCTAATGGAAACTGTTTGCCTTCAGTGTTTTGTGCTTATGATAATTTTAATAGACATCAGCGTCACTAATTAATGACATTCTATTAAAAGACTGGTTTACCAAGAGTGACACTGGAGTATTTTCACCTAAAATGAGTTAATGAAGCAGAGTCTTGTTACAAAAATGATAATAGGACATTAACGTCATAATTAATCTTTTAGTACTTTCACTTTCGATACTTAAGTACATCTGAAGGCAAATACTTTTGTACTTTTACTCAAGTGGAGGTCTAAAGGGAGGAACTTCTACTTTTACTGGAGTAATATTTTACCTTCGGTATCTCTACTTTAACTCAAGTACATGATTTGTGTACTTCGTCCACCACTGTCATCATCATTCAATATATAAACTCAGGAGACAGGTGTAGGTTCACTGGTGGTTTTGCATTGTAAATAAAATGGCTATATTTGTGTTGTAGACGAGTGTTAAGTCTGTAAGTTTCACAACAATGAACATCAACCACTCTGAATGACTTTGTGTTCAATAGAACTGTGCAGAAACTGATCATGTGTGTATTATTGAGTGTGTACACACACCTGCCCTCTGGTGAGAGAGACCCCTCAGAGGATGCCCCCCGGTGGAGGCTGTTTGGATGGCGGTGGTCAGGGCGGAGCTCCTTATCAAGCGCCATCATGTTCCACTCCTGCCGCCTGTTACGAGCTTTACGCACCTTTTTGACCTCGCGAGGTAAAGTCCCATCTACACCCCGCTTCTGCTCCTGAGAGAAAGAGAGAGAGTGAGAGAGAGAGAGAGAGAGAGAAAGATAGTGAAGAGAAGAGAAGAGAAGAGAAGAGGAGAGAGAGAGAAGAAAAAAGAAGGTAAAGAACAATGCAACAGGGAGAGAGAGAAAAGAAAGAAAAAAGCAGAGAAGAGAAGAGAAGAGAAGAGAAGAAAAGAGAAACGGGGAGACAGAAGAAAACAGAAGGGAAAGAACAAAGAAACAGGGAGAAAGAAAAGAAAGAAGAAAGAAACGAAGAGAGAGAAGAAAAAAGAGAAGAGAAGAAAAAAGAAGAAAGAAACAGGGAGAGAGAGAAGAGAAATAAGAATGAACAGGGAGGGAGAGAGAGAGAAAAGAGAACAAAAGAGAACATTAGAGAAAGAAGCAAAATGGTGAGAAGAGAAGAGAAGAGAAGAGAAGAGAAGAGAAGAGAAACAGGGGAAAGAGAGAATGAAAGTGTCCTACTCTCTGTCTTCTCTTCTCTTTCCTCTTATCTTCTGTGTCCTGAAGCATCTTTTCTTTCCACAGGTCAAAGAAATAAGAGGGATCTGTGTAGAACTTCATTCCATCAATATGATCATCTCTATTGCAGAGAGAGAGAAAGAGAGAGAGAGAGAGAGAGAGAAATGTTACATCAGCTAGTTTTTCTAAATGTAAAGATTCTTTCAGTAATTTTAGTTCATTCTCGTCCTGTTCTGTTTGTTTCCACTCTCGTCTTACAGCAGTTCTAGACAACTTTTGTATGCTATTAATCATTTCCCATTAAACTTACTGTATATTGTTCCACAGAACCAGTTCAAAAAAGTTTTCCAATTAATCAAACAAGTTTAGCAAAACTATCTCCTTACCCTAATACACTGGAGCTACAGCTAATGCGGCTAACAAGTAATGGAAGCATACATAATGGTCTTAACTGCATGCCTAAATAATCACACATTTGTCTCAAACCATGTGGAGTTATCTCAAAAAATAAACTTCCATTACTTATTAGCTACATCAGCCTTGTAGCTCCAGTGCAAAACTAAAGAAACAAACTTCAGGATATGGACTTTTGAGCAATCTTCAGTGAAATTAAGTGAAGTTCAGTGAGGTGAAGTTACGGAAGGGTCTCCTCACACACCTGTAAGTGGAGAGCACGCTGAGTGGCGGCGGTTTCTCACTCATGTTATACATCTCAGCTATGGGGTTTGGAACGCTGCTCTTGGACACCACCTGCTGGTCCTGAACTGTGGAGCTCCTGAAGGCCTTCCGCATGTTGATGTCCTGGAGAGAGACTGCAGGACAGAAAGAGAGCGAGTGTAAAGCTGAGATCTGCTCTCTGGGTCCAAACACGGCTGCCGAGTGTTTCATTTCTCATTCATGAGCAATTTTCATTTCACAGCTCCCAACTGCTGCATTGGAACTAACGACAGGGCCAGATTCAGCTTGATGTCAGCTAAAACCCAGAATAAGAAAGATCCTCTGAATAAAAAAAGGGGTTGGATAATTTTACACAATTATCCACTTGTGTAGTCAATCAGCCAAGACATGTTTGGAGTCCAAATTTTGCTTCCTAAGTTCTGCACTGGAGCTTTAAAGCCAATCGAGCTAACAGTAGAAGTCAGTCACCCAAATCTTTTCAATACATCCTCGAAGTTTTTTCAGTGCTCACGCAGACACAGTATGACTTACTGTGAGGTATAAAAATAAACAAAATAAAGCATATTCCTGCATGACGTGTGCACCCAAAGGGAGGTCCAATTTCACTGTACACATGCTCAGTAAAGTTTTCTTTATTTTCACCAAGTCATACTGTGTCCTACACCACATCTACAAGTCTGCACCACCTAAATGAAGACCTGGATTGGGTTTGAGCAGGTCGAGAGACGTTTTGGAGATGTATTTACAGAAAAGATTTGGGTGACTATTGACTTGAAGTGTATTGAGATCTAGTGTTAGTAATGTTAGCCATGTGGATCCAATGTTAAACTAAAAAAAGCGAAATCTGGACACTGTCCTGGCTTATCAACTACATCTGTATAAGTGAGTAAGTAAGTTATCTTACATTAAAGGCCCAGCCAACCTAGCACGGGGTGGTCTGCAGGCCTAGACTCTGGGCTGGTGAAGGCACTTTAAGTCATATCCGACAGGCCCAAGGCTTGGTAAAGGGTTAGGATTCCCCCAGTCACATGGCAAAAGCTAACACAGGCTTGCTCTGAGACCTGGGAAGCACCACCACATCTTTTCGAATTGCTGCTAACACAATGTCACTGGACAGCTGAATGGGCTCTGAGGAGAACGATAACCGCCAGTTCTGTTATATCAGCTAGCAGATGCCTGCGCTTGGTGATGGGGAGACGAGGAGACATCCTACCCACCCAGAGAGAGCGAGACAATTGTGCTCTCTTGGACTCCCATCCACAGACGGCTGTAGCATCACCAGGGACTGAACGTGCATCTCCTGATGATAGAGCCAATGCTTAGATGGTTGCGCCACTCAGGAGCCATCTGTCTGTTTTAGGGTCTGACTCTTGATAGATATTGATATCGTTCCTGCAGCATGAGCTGCTGTGAATAACGGCAGAGCAATTAAATAATAGCAAGGATATGCATTTTGGCTCATGGATACCTGAATGTATTTCTGGCCAAGCATCAGCGACCTGATTGGATAGATTCAAACTGATAAACCAGTCATTAAGAAGCAGATATGAAGGGAGTGGGGTGGGGGTCAGTATGCTGTGGACAGTTGTTTCCATAACATCACAGTCCAGAAGTGCCCTGAAAGCTAGCTAAACGTTTCTTTTTGTCTATTTTTCGACATAATTCCAATTTCTTTCAGATTTAATTACAAGGTTTTTGTGATTAAAATGGAAGATCTGATCTTTTCAGGCCAATTATTATGTTTTCAATGTCAGCATTTAAGAAAAGAGCTGATTTATGAAAATGAATTAAAATGGAGACATCTGTTTTTTGCTAATGAATAAACATATGAAAGAGAGACTGTATGATACACAATCAGTTAGGATCAGTTTTATTATTATCTTTACTTTTGTGGCTTTGCTGTTTGAGGTAGGCGAGTTAGTCAGCTTGGTAACTGAGATGTTAGCTTCTTGGCTAACTAAAGCTGCACACATTCACCCCAACTATGGCAGTTATCTACACTTTTTTACTACAGATCAGTGTACATTACTGTACTCATGTGAGTATGTAAATTTGTTTACTTTTGTGTAGTAACTGTTTATGGTTAGTGAGTTAGCTTTTCAACAGCACCAGCATGGATGATGCACTTCCTGCATCTCTGTGACCGTTGACCTTGTGACTGACCTTCCTCCACACTGGAGTCCAGCTGTGTGACCTTCACAGCCAGGCGGTCGATGCGGTCCTGCAACGAGTTCGCTCGCAGGTAGAACGTGTTCGCTTCGTTAAACAGCTCACCAAACACGTCCTCTGCATGCTTACCTGAGAAAGAGAGAGAGAGAGAGAGAGAGAGAGAGAGAGAAAGTGTTACTGGAGCAAAAACATATTAACACCCTTCCTTTCAGAAGAAAGGCTGGAGAAGTAGGTGTCCACAAACTTTTGGACATGTACTGTGTTTCTGAAACTTTGGCGAAGAAAGAAAAAAAAACACTTTTTACATTTGTTAATGTAACTTCAGAAAACACTTCTGTTTGTCCACTTGTTCCTAAATGTTCACACATTGTAAAAAAGCAGCTGTCAACTACAGATACCGCAACGGGAACTATATTTGGAATTGAAACATATTTTGCTGCGGAATGTAAATAACCTTCCATCACCCCATTTTGTAAGCTTCCCAGAGGTGATTCTGCAGGCAATGGGGAAATCAAAACCTGTATATGTTAAATTCATATAATCAAATTAAATATTTTAAGCAGGACACTAGTGAGGGTTCCATCTATAAATTTCAGAGAATTACTAAAAATGTTGCAAAAGAATTATGTGAGAGAAATATGGGCTGAATTTACAGACAAATATTTAACGTTGAAAAGCTTCTTGTTGCTGTTTTGTTGAATTATATTGGAATTACGAATGCAAAAATGCACTGGGATCAGCTATAACGTCTGTTTATATTGCCACTTCTTTCTTTGATAAAATAGAGTTTTGCTTTTTTATCAAACCTACTGCCTTTGTTATTACTTGTTGAAGGCTAGGTAAAAAACAAAATACATGATTTAATTCTATTTGTATTTTTATTATTGTCATGACTCCCTTTGGACCTCAGAGCCGAAGGGACTCCTGCCTCACTCTCGTGCTCCAATCAGCGCTCTAACTCTCCAGAGTACTGATCATGTTCACCTGTGGTGCATTCATTAGTTTAGTATAAAGCCCGGGCTTGTAGGATAGGTTCTTTGTGAGGTATTGCTTCTGTCCCAAGAGCTACTGAGCGTTTGTGTCTGTTTGGTTATTCTGGTTCTGATATTTTTGCCCTGTTTTTGACTTGCCTTTTGCCTGATACTTTTTCGGATTGTTTGCTTGGTTATGTTTGTGCTTCTGTGTTTTTTGGTCCTTTTTTGGATCTGACCTATGCCTGTTTATTGGCTTCGATTTTGGATTGTGTTTTTATCAGTAAAGCCTCTCATTCTACTTTTATTCGCGAGCGTCTGCGTCATTCTGTCGTGTTAAAATTATGTATTCCGCAAATGTGTTTACAGCATTTTAATTTTACCTGCAAAAAATATATCCCATCTCAAGCAAGCATGCAAAATTCTGTGCAAAGTTAGGCAATTTTACACGATATTTGCTTCTTCCATCAACTTTTTAAATTCAACATACCAAAATATGCATAAAAACATGTGGATGGAAACCCAGCTACTATTGTCTCTCTGTGTGTGAAATGTTGTGACGCTGTGTTGAGCTGCTCGTGAGCAATGAGGGGTGAAAGGGGAGGAGTGACAGCCCCCAAACAATTCACACTTCTATACAAAGACAGCCATGCTGAGATAAAATGGACAACTGCAGATTTCTTCACATCAAACAATTCTGACTTAATAAACAAACTGAATTAAACATAATAGAAACATATTTAGAATCTTTGTCATAGACATATCCATTGAAATGTATTATATCAACATTATTGATGAAAACATGCACTGTGCAAAAACTAGGAGTGGTACAAGTGTCTAATAGAGTGGACAGTGAGTGGACACAGTGTTTAAAACTCCAGCAGCACTGCTGTGTCTGATCAACTCGCACCAGCGCAACACACACAAACACACTACCACCACGTCAGTGTCACTGCAGTGCTGAGACTGACCCACCACCCAAATAATACCTGCTTTGTGGTGGTCTAATGTGTAATCAATAAAGTGCTCAGTGAACGTATAGCAGCAAATAAGGTTGTAAGTGTTTTGCTTGTAAATTATTTGAATCCTATTTTCTTTCCTTAAGTCTTTAACTCTCTCTGTGTGTGTGTGTCTCTCTCTCTCTCTCTCTCTCTCTCTCTCTCTTTCTGTCTCTCTCTGCTTCACGCACACTAATCTCGGTGTAAGCCGTAATCCTCTGTGACTTCATATAAACCCAAAGCACATCAGCTGGTACATGATGAACACACACACACAAATGTGTAGGCCAGATGTCTGTGAAATTTCCCGTCTCCGACCTCAACTGCGTAACACTGCTGAGTATTAATCTCACATCTGTCCAGTGACCAGTGAATCCCAACCAATCAGATTAAGCTTTAAAACACAATGGTTGTAGTAAAGCGCATGAATGGCAGCCTTGAATGAACGACACTTGTTTGGCCATGCGGCTTTACGCTCTCCGCCAATGTACACATGCAAATATATATAAATCCATAGGCATTAATATGGAGTTGGTCACCCTTTGCAGCTACAACAGCTTCCACTCTTCTGGGAAGCTTTTTACAAGATTTTGAAGTGTGTCTGTGGAATTTTTTTCCAATCATCCAGAAGAGCTTTTGTGTGGTCAGACACTGATGTTGGACGAGTGGGCCTTGCTCGCAATCTTCGTTCTAGTTCATCCCAAAGGTGTTCCATGGGGTTAAGGTCAGGGCTCTGTGAGGGCCAGTCAAGTTCTTTCACACCAAACCCACCCAGCCAGGCCTTTATGGAGCTGCTTTGTGCACTCGGGCTCAGTCATGCTGGAACAGAAAAGGTTCTTCCCCAAACTGTTCCCACAAAGTTGGAAGCATAGAATTGTTCAAAATGTCTTGGTCTGCTGAAGCATTAAGATTTCCCTTTACTGGAACTAAGGGGCCTAGGCCAACCCCTGAAAAACAACCCCATAGCATCATCCCTCCTCCACCAAACTTTACAGTCGGCACAATGCAGTCAGGCAGGTAATGTTCTCCTGGCATTCGCCAAACCCAGACTCGTCCATCAGACTGACAGATAGAGAAGCGTGATCCATCACTCGACAGAACACATTTGCACTGCTCCTGGCGCTAAGTTTTTGTGCTGATGTTAATGCCAGAGGAGGTTTGAACTCTGCAGCTGTTGAGTCAGCAGAGTGTAGGAGACCTTTATGCACTATGCGTCACAGCACTTGACGACCCACTCTGTAACTTTACGTGGTCCGACACTTTGTGGTCTGATACTTCGTTAAAAGTGTATATATATGTATATACTGCGATGGACTGGCGACCTGTCCAGGGTGTATCCTGCCTTCCACCCAATGACAGCTGGGATAGGCTCCAGCACCCCACCGCGACCCAAAAGGATAAGCGGTTTAGATGATGTATGTATGTATGTATGTATGTATATATATATATATATATATATATATATATATATATATATATATATATATACATATATACACATATATATATGTATATATATATATATATATATATACATAAACACACTTCTATAACCCATAGATATATATATGTCCCATATGTATTATATAGTATGAGTACCTATATGAAAAGTTCCACATGTATTATAAAGTAAAATAAGCTGCATCTTTTCTTGATATGCACATTTTATGTAACGGACCAGTCGTTCACCAAAAACAAACAAACACAAACACACACAAACACACACACACAAACACACACAGGTGAGGTCTTACTGAGGCTGCTGAGTTGGCGGATGATGGCAGAGAGTGTGTTGTTGGTCACACACTCCAGTTCGCTCCCGATGCCCTCAGGTAGCGCTCCCCGGCTCAGGTGACGCGGCTCAATGTTCCTCTTCACCAGCGGCATGACTGCACTTCACACACACACATGTACAGGTGTGTGTATCTGTGCACCTGTACAAACACAAATAACTGGGATTAGCAATAAAGCGACAGTTTGGCAAAATCAAACGTATATAGCCCGCCCCCAACCCCTAATGTAGTCGATCAGCCAAGTCTTGATTGGTGTCTGAAGTTTATTTCTTTAGTTTTACACTGTCTTTGATTTTTTTCACTGAACAATTTCATTAGTAATAATAAAACTTTTAACCCCTTAAAATCCCAGGTTCATTAAACACTAAGACTTACTATTCAGTAACTACAGGGACTTCAATGCAAACTGGCTCAGCTATTCTTAGGTTATAGAAGTGTGAAATAAAACTGCTGATGGGCCCCAAACTGCCAATGGGCCCTGACCTTTTAAGGCGTTAAGGGGCCCGTATCCTATATTTCTTTGGATGATTTTCTCCCCCCCTGGGATTCACTAATAAAGTTTGTGTGGTTTTATTAACCTAAAACAGCCCTAATTAATTTTAACATGACCACTTTCCAACCTCTCTTTATCACTTAGCATTAAGCAGGCTGTTTTTGTCATTGTGCCCTAAAGACTCATATATGTAAATGAGCTGTGTTCTGATTGGCCATCTTGTATTATGCCTTAAAAAGCAGCCCAGGCTGAAACACTCTTTATAACATCATATTCTTACAACTTCAGCATAAATGATTGGGGTTAAACTGCTGTAGGCTGAGTGGATCTATATAAATGATTTGGTTTTCATGACATCACAAAAACAGCTCAGTTTCCATATATGGACGGTACGTTTTGAAACGTTAACAGAGTTTACATGCTACACCAAACGCTTTGACTTCAAAACTCTGAGGAAGATTCAGTTTTACATGATATGTGCCTTTTAATCCTGAGTAACAGCTCTGTAGAGGAACGAATCAGAATACTGACTACTTCTAAAGCTGTCATCACTCTTCAGAGGAGTGCACACGGCTTATAACCTCTCAGGATTAAGTTATTAGACACACATACGCACTTCTGGATTACAGTTGCCTGCACAATCATGTTCACTCTCACCTCACAACTGATGGTCCTCAGGCAGCACAGTTCTGTTGTATTTATTTGAAATATAAAGAATATGTTCAACAAAGATCGTAGATTTTTATATTTGTTTGTCATAAACTACAGTTTCGAGGAAGAAAACATATAAATAGGAATATACCTCACATTTCACTGTCCTTTAGTTGTTTTTTTCCATAGTGATAAGAATTGTATTCTATTTGATAATAATAATAATTATTATTTCTTTATTTATAGAGCTCTTTTCATACTGGCGGCAGCTCCAAGTGCCTTACAGACAGGTGATAAAGCTTAACACTGACAGAAGAAATCAGAGTTGAGTTTGATTTTCTTCTGTTATGCTTCAGGTTTGGCATACAAAGCAAAAGAATGAGTGCAAATGTTCATTCAGAAACTATCAAGGTGCATTTAACAACAAAGGCAGCATGGAGCTTCGTTTATACAGTGATAGGAAACACAGTTGTAGCATGATGGCCGGCCAACCCCAAGCAGGGTTTGAACTGGTAGTCCCCTTGTTCAGATACCAGAATGCTTTGGGGTAAGCCACCAGCCCAGCACAAGATATGGACATATGGATAAGTGCAGAGCAGTACAGAATCAAGAGTGTGGAAAAAGCAAAACTGAGGTTGCACCAAGCAAGACTCGAACTCGCAAACATGGGGGCAAGTGTGTTATCACTAAGCTACTGTGGCAACACAAAGCTGAAATTACTGGCTTAGTCAGAGACACACATGTGGCAGTGTGAACACAAGACTGAGCAGAAAGCAGCATGTGAGCAGCCTTAAGTAGGGTACTCACAGCTGTTACTGTTCAGCCCTAATTACCACTTCAGTGGCTCACTGTCTCCCCCTAGTGGCTGGAGGTGGCCTAGCATGAGGCCGGGACAATACAACAGTATCTAGTTCTTGGCAATATAAGGTGATTAAGGTATTAGTTTTGTCATTATCGTTATACCTTATGTGCAAACAGTGCAAAACCTGCTGATTTCCTCACTTCTCACGTAGCGAGCTGCAGCCTGGCATTAATTCAGTTGTCAAAGGAGCGACATCAGATTGTAATGAGTTAAGGAGTTAACGGGGGAAAAAGTGGAAGGAAAAGCCAGTCTCTTGGGGTTAGCCGTTAGATTAAGCCATTAGCCTAGCATAGAGACTAGCCACCTTTCCATGTGCAGTGCTCCTTGCTTGGCCAGCCAAGAGGCTCCGCAGCTTCTCAGCTAAAACTGATAGTGTGAACGACTGTAATATTTACAAAACATACCAGGGTTAGGAAGCAATATTAATATCTGTATATATACTGCTCATTTCTGTTTTTACTATTTCACCCAATAAAAATATTTTAGATTTACTTCATCTGTTAAATATGGTTCTTCCTGGATTCCATCCAGAATAATACGTCATTCTTAATCTACAAAAAAGGTTTACTGTAAGCATCCGAAATAGTTTTATTTTAAAAAAGTACACATTAATAAACTATAATGGGATATAAACTGAAACTGTCAGTAATCTTAATTATACGGTGACAGAAATTTCTGCTTATATTGCTCACAGCTAACAGTAACTCACAGAACTATTTCACTGAACAGTGTTGACATGCACGCTCACCAGCTATACTGGAGGCAGATCTTAAGCTGTTAAAGTAGACAAACACAAACATTACAAATGCAGTACTGGTAAGACTTTAGGGTAGAATAGAAGGGGTAATAACATTAAAATGTAAAAAAACATCCCTCGTTTACCATCTTTAATAGAAACCACTGTCAATGATTAAAATAAACCATCCAGGTGCAGCCTATCAGAGTAAAGTGGGTGGGGAGGGGGAGGGGCTTATGCTATGCACACTCCCATGCTGAAATGACTAGGCTTTTTTTGTGATTTTTGAGGGTTTATTTTGTAGGAGGACAGCATGGCAGCTGCTGAAAGAGTTCTGTTGGAGAACTTTTATTTCTCTGAGCCAAACCAACCTTTTGTTCTTAGTTTGTAATGCAGAAAATATTGTTAACACATAAAATAGCAACATTTAAATTGAATCTTGACCTCTGAATGGAAAATTGTATTGTATTCTAACATTAACATATGAACACAAGGCATGAGGCAGTTCCTATTTTTTTGCTGTATTGTGTCATTACACTCCTAGACTAAACTTAAACAAGTCCAGCACGGTACAATAGCACTGCACTGCATCTTCATGCAGATGCTTAGCTGCTCCTTTCTGACTGACCTGAGGCTGGTATCAGTACCTGGATCAGTCTAAAAGGAATCCAGAGCTAACAAGACACAGGGCTCAGTTTACACTGAGATCAGTTCAGATCACTGCAGCCTGCTGCGTCTGCTGCGTCTCAGTGCTCACATTTTAGTTATTTAGCCCAAACTTGAAGAACAGAATCATTAGAGAGTAATGAGATGATGCAGTAGGACATTTTAAACATTATAAGCTCTAATTGTGCTCTGTGGCACTTCAGTACTGTCAGACAGTTTTTCAGGAGGAGTGGAGACGTGCTGTCTGTGGGCCCGCGCCTTAACAAGAACACACTAGCAGGTGGCTTAAAGGGGAATTCCACTGATTTTGGTAAAATTCTGCATAGTTCAGTACTTGAGATATAAACAGAGTAATTCAGAGTGGTTTGGTGTGAAATGGTTTACATTTCTTTACAGTGGTGGTGATAGGAACCAGGGGTCGCCATGACTACAACACAAATATAGACATTTTATTTACTATCCAAAACCACCAGTGAACCTACACGTGTCTTCTGAGTTTTATATGAAATGCTGATGATGATAAAATAGTGGATAATCTGAAATAATATGTTTTAAGGGACTATTTTGCCTCACAACGCCCTGCAATGTTTTAGGCCAAAACCTTATCACAAAAATATCATAAAACAGTGTATCAGACATCAGGCAGCGTATTCATAACCATTTCATGTAACTTCAATAACGTCCTGTGAGGGAGCGTTTAGAGGTGGACATCTGGATCCTAACACCACCAATTCTGAAGGTTTTCTAGAATGGAGCATTTTGGACCAAACCACTCTGAATGACTCTGTTTACATCTTAATGACTGAATTATGCAGAAATCTTGAAAGTCTCGGTAAGTTTCTCTATTTCACACCAAACCACTCTGACTTTGTTTACATCTCAACCAAGATTCCCCTTTACTGGTGAAAGAACAGAACACGGCCGGGCGCGCGCCTAATTGAGAACGGAACGGGCATGCGCTTTAATGAGCCGGTAACGGGCACGTACCTTAATGGGAATGAAAGGGGCGCGCGCCTTAATGACACACGGACGCGCACGTGCGCCTTAATGAGACCGCGAAGGCCACGCGCTTCATTAGGCACACCTACGTGTACGCGCTTTTATTGGAACGTGCACGCGCCTTAATGAGAACACAAACGCTTGCGTTCCTTTTATGAGAACGTAATGGCCACGCGCTTCCACGGGAACTAAACCGGCACAGGCACGCGCCTTAACGGGAACCCGAACGAGCACGCGCGCCCGCTGACCTGCGTTCCCTCAGGGCTTAAGCCGTTTTTCCTACAGCACAGTCAGAAGCGATTAATGGCCAAAGCGCGCGGGACAAGCAAGGCGCGAGGCTCTAAACATATACAGACCCCCAGTGCTACGTTATTAATAAACACTCCTATCACATGATCCACTGAGAAAGCCAAAAAACGCCCATATAAACTGTCAGAAAGTGCAGGCGCGCCGGACTCACCCTGAACCCCCCATGAGACTCTTCACCAAAACATGTCTGCAGCTGTTCTGACCCACAAGCAGCGAATAAAACCACCGTCAGATCATAAAACTCACCGGAGAGAATAACAGCGCGCTGTGTGTGCAGCAATGACCCGCGCGCTCTCACCACAGACCCAGTTTTACGCGGAGACCGTCCGAGACCAGCCCGCTGCCATTCTGCCCTGACGTCACACTGAGGCCGGGCCTGGGAGCCTGAGTGCCACTCGGATGACTCAATCAGCTTTCAGGAGAAAAGATTTCATTCGCAGATTAAACTCAGGCAACCAATCAGAGTGGAGCTGAGGGCTGGAGTGGACGGTGGAGCTCAGCACAGGGGAACAGGTGTCAGGTCGAGGTACAGACGAGTTTAGACTTTACATTAGAAAAACATACAAAAATATACTTTTTTAAGGAAAATATTTATTTTATATAATTTTTTTGTATAATATTTTTCATATGATCATGCTGATAGATACGACAGCTTTTGTAGCTCATTTTTAATGGGGTGCCAATAATTCTGTTTGGGTAAATTGGAGTATTACTCACCTAAACATTATATTCCCCTTAAATTACTGCACATACATTTTGCAGTATTAAGATACGTTATGTGTCCAAAAATTTATAGACACTTGCTCCTCCTTCGTTTCTTCTGAAATGAAGGGTATTAATAGCCAGTTTGTCCCCTTTTGCTGCAGTAACACCCATTCCACATATAACCCCACTCACTCCTCTTTAACCCCACCAACTCCACATTTAACCCCACTCATTACACATATCCCCACTTATTCCTGTTTAACCCCACCAACTCCACATTTAACCCCACTCATTACACATATCCCCACTTATTACTGTTTAACCCCACCCATTCCACATATAACCCCACTCACTACACATATAACCCCACTCATTCCTCTTTAAAAGCACTCATTCCACATATAACCCCACCCATTACCCATATAACCACACCCATTCCCCATATAACCCCACTCATTACCCATATGACCCCACCCATTCCATGTATAACCCCACCCATTCCCCATATAACCCAACTCATTCCACATATAACCCCACTCACTCCTCTTTAACCCCACCCATTCCTTTATAACCGCCCCATTCCACAAATAACCCCATTCATTCTGTTTATTAACCCCACCCATTCCACACATAATCCCACTCATTTCACATATAACACCCTCTTATTCCACTTTAAACTCACCCATTGCCCATATAATCCCACTCATTTCATGTAGAACCCTGCTCATTCCACTTCAAACCCACCCATTGCTCATATAATCCCACTCATTCCTTATATAAACCCACTCATTCCCCATATAACCTCACTCATTCCACTTTAAACCCAACTATTGCTCATATAACTCCACTCTTTCCTCTTTAACCCAACCATTGCTCATCTAACCCCACTCTTTCCTCTTTAACCCCACCCATTCCCCATATAACCCCACTTATTCCACATTTAACCCCACCCACTCCACAAACAACCCCATTCATTCCTCTTATTAAGCCAACCCATTCCACACATAATCCCACTCATTCCATATATAACCCTCTCTTATTCCTCTCTAAACTCACCCATTCCCCATATGACCCCATTCATTTCACATAGAACCCCGCTCATTCCACTTCAAACCCAACCATTGCTCATGTAACACCACCCTTTCCTCTTTAACCCCACTCATTCCCCATATAAACCCACTCGTTCCACATATAACCTCGCTCATTCCATTTATACCCACCCGTTCTACATTTAACCCCACACATTCCACTTTAAACCCACCCATTGCTCATCTAACCCCACTCTTTCCTCTTTAACCCCACCCATTCCAACCCCAAGCATTCTACTGCAAAAACCATTAAATTGCTCAGAGATCAGCAAATGTCAAACCCTCTGAGCCCCAACAGATGGTCAGTAGGTCACAGGATGACTGACTGGGGTGTGACAATCCACTTTTAATGGTAAGATGCACTTTTACCATGTGAGAATCAAATACTGTAACTCATTACAGAAAGACTGAGGGATTTACAGCTGTGACATCAGGCCAGTCCCACAACTGATAATTCTGATATTCACAGTGTAAACGAATTAGTATGGAAATTAATGTTATGTCATTATCATCCACACATCATTTGTCCAGTTTTCATGAATTATGATGTGACCCCAATTCACACTCAAAACACTTCCACCACATTTATTAGTCCCACCCCTTCAGTCCTCCCATGTAAACCCCCTACTGTGAACACACATGTTCAAATCAATATCCCAATGTCAATCCAATATAGGCCGGCTGTGAAGGTTATTAGAAGCTTGTTGCTGTTATCAGCACAGCATGAGGGAGACCTGAGGCTACTGTATTGTAAAGCTACAAAAAAAATAGATATGATAAATATGAAATCAGAATATGACATATGAGTGGGACAAATTCATGTTTACTCAAAGCCATCTTTAAAACAGAAATGCTATAATACAACACAACACATATATTAATGCACATTTATGTGATTGTCAGCAGGCAATAAAAGGCCTCCATGATGCTTTGGTGTATCATACTCTGTCTGTTTGTCTTTTTTTCCTGTCCTGTCCTGTAACCTTTTCCCGGCCTTGTCCTGTCCTGTGACTTTTCAGGCATACTGTCTTCAGACCTTTTTTCTGTCCTGTAACTTTGCCCTGTCTTGTCCTGTAACTTTACCCTGTCTTGTGACTTTTTGAGTGTCCCGTCCTGTAACATTTTACTTGTTCTGTAACTTTTTCCCTGTCTTGTCCTGTCCTGTGACTTTTTTGCTTCCTGTCCTGTAACTTTTTTCCTGTCTTGACCTGTCCTGTGACTTTTTTGCTTCCTGTCCTGTAACCTTTTCCCTGTCTTGACCTGTCCTGTAACTTTCATTGCTTCCTGTCTTGTCACTTTTTTGTCTTGTCCTGTCTTGTGACTTTCTTTGCTTACTGTCCTGTAACTTTACCCTGTCTTGTCCTGTAACTTTACCTTGTCTTGTGACTTTTTGCGTGTCCCGTCCTGTAACTTTTTACTTGTTCTGTAACTTTTTCCTTGCCTTTTCCTGTCTTGTAACTTCCTTTTCTTCCAGTCCTGTAACTTTTTCCCTGCCTTGTCCTGTCCTGTAACTTTCATTGCTTCCTGTCTTGTCACTTTTTTTTGTCTTTTCCTGTCTTGTGACTTTCTTTGCTTCCTGTCTTGTAACTTTTTCCCTGCCTTTTCCTGTCGTTTGACTTTCTTTGCTTCCTGTCCTGTAACTTTTTCCCTGTCTTGTCCTGTTCTATGACTCTCTTTGCTTCTTGTCATGTAATATTTTCCTTGGATTGTCCTGTCCTGTAACTTTTTTCCTGTCTTGTACTGATGTGTGACTTTCTTTGCATCCTGTCCTGTAATTTTTTCCTGTCTTGTCCTGTTTGTAACTTTTTTCTCTGTCCTGTAACTATTTCACATCTTCCTGTTATTTTTTTCCTGTCCTTTGACTTTTTCCCTGTCTTGTCCTGTCCTGTGGCTTTCTTCCTATCCTGTCCTGTACATTTTTCCTGCCTCATCCTGTAAAGCCTTTCTAGTCCTGACCTGTGATTTTTGTTAATGTCCTATGAATTTCTTTGTTTCTTTTCCTGTAACATTTTTTATTTCTAACCTGTCTTATCTTGATCTGTCCTGGCCTGTGACCCCTTTCTTTTTTTCATAACCCCTTTTTGTATTGTCCTCTTTTGTGACCTTTTTCCTATGTTCTTCTGTCCCATGACTCATTTCCCTGTTATGTCCTGTCGTTTGCTCCTGTCCTGTTTTTTTCTTGTTCTCTCATTCTTTAACCCTTGCAACCAAGTGTACATTAGTACAACATCTGTCAGTGGCCTATGTGTGAAAACCTTCCGAGCTTCCAGAGAATTCTGGTTTCTGGAAACTGGTTTCAATGAGCTAAGAGTGAGAAATGCTTTTTTTGTTATCACCAGTATAACTGTGACTTCTGTTAACTCCAATTATTCTCCTCTTAACTTCCTCTTACCTTTCCACACTTTCAACAACAGACTTTTAATATGAACATATTTTCACACTTGCATGTTGAATAAATGGACTGTTGTCCATTCCTGTCCATGTCTATCACACCATGACTTCACTGCTCCTTTGCATTGTGCCAGTGCCAGCATTAGGTGGGCACGGAGAGGGCACTGACCTGTATGGCCTTGGAGCCTGTGTAGGCATTATATAGGGGTTCAGCATTGCGGTGGGGAACATTAGTGGGTGGAGCATTGTGGGTAAAGTCATGGTCCGGTGGAAGGCAGGATTTGGAGGCAGGGGGAAGGAGGGGGGCGGAGCATGCTGCTGCTGTTTCTCTAGTTTTGGGTGTAGTTGGCTGGTCTGGCTCTGGGAGGCGTTGTTGAGGGGGTATAATGAGGATGAAGAGCCGCAGGAGGTTCCAGTGCTGGCAGTCAAGGGCAGAATCTCTGGAGGCTCGGAGGGCAAGGGTGGTGATTCCTGGACTGGGGATTGGCTGGGCCGTGCAGGGGGGAGGGGCTTCTGGCTCAGGCAGAAACAGACAGCCACCACGGACCCCAGCAGGACAAAGACCATGAACACACAAACCACAATCAAGAAGGGCACGTAGACAGGCAGCTCTGCAATCAGAGACATCAAGTTTTAAAGCAGTAGTTTGGCAAAAAAATCAAACATGCATAAATTTTCCTTTCTTACCCCAATCAGCTAGTCAATCAGCTAAGACATGTTTGGTGTCTGAAGTTTGCTTCTTCAGTTTTAGCACTGGAGCTATGAGGCTAATGAAGCTAACACAAAACAGCATTCAGCAAGCTGCATGCATAAATCACTCAAAGTGTGTTGTACTGTTAAGTGTCAAGTAATCTCTAATAGACTTGATTATGTTGTTTCTGACAAACTGTTATTCACTATTGAACAGTGACTATTAGAACTAGGCCTTCAATCTGGAGCATAAATGTCCAAACATGGACAAAAACATGAAAAAATACACTAATGCTAATTTTTTGCTGGCGTCTCTATGGAATTCTAGTAGTATGTTAGTTTTGGCTGACATTTATGGCTCAAATTGAAGCCCTTCACTCTCAAAAAAGATGGTTCTTCAAGGGTTCTTTAAGAAAGACAATGGTTCTATATAGAACCATGAATACTCAAAGAACCGTTTGCATGCTTAAATGGTTCGTTGCATGGTGAAATGGATCTTTAGATTGATTGAGAATGTGTTGTATATGTTTTATATAGAACCTTTTTGGAAAGGGTTCTACATAGCAGGTCAAATTTGTAACAGTAGAAGTTCTCCAACAATCTGATGAACCATTTCATCATGCAATGAACCATTCAGTCATGCTAATGGTTCTTTAAGTGTTCATGGATCTATACAGCACCATTGTCTTTACTAAAAACCCTTGAAGAACCATCTTTTTTAAGAATATAGAGCTGCCGCCACTGTTTTCCATTCCTAACAACCAACCAAAACACTGATTAGATTACGACTCATATTCACAGTCAGTGATGTATCTAGAACTTGGTTTGTGTCGTATCACAAAGTTAGTCGCATTGCAAATCAAAGCGTGATTAGTTGATTCCTCTGTCACTTCCTACTTAAGCTGGTGGTTAATCTAATGTTTAAGGCCTTCAGTCCAGCTCTTGAAGTCTTAACCAATAGGAGAGCTCGCTGTGCTGTGTCTACCTAGACACCACAGAGAAAACTATCCTGATTGGATCATTTTCCACTTAGTGTTTAAAACATCAACCCTTTTGTTTCCAATCAAAACTTTACAATAATTACTAAATTAAAAACAAAATGAAGTAAAAATTAAATACATAGGTGTTGTTTCAATTCTTCACTGCTCTTGTTCACAAACATAGACAAAATAAGGGCAAAATTAAATACTGTATGTATTTATACCATTCTACTACTGTCTACTGTACCATTCTGAGAGTACAGTAAGAGATTAATTATTTTGCTTTTATCAGCTGAAGCTCCTCTGAAGTTCTGAGCAGTAGCCCAGTCTAAAGGGTCACTTCATCCTGGACGAGCTAAGCTAATTTAATTTGGGCAAAAACAAACTGAACTCTGTGTAAATGACCAGCATGTGGTGGTGAGTTTGCTGAATGACGGCGTGTTCAGCTTAAACTCAAAACCCGTGTCCCGGCGACAGCATGCCAGACGGCTCCTTGGAGGTGGAGATGTTTTCAGCAGGACAGAGAAAACAATTTATCTCTGTAAACTAGACTTTGATTCCTTTGGGGGGAATTTCTCCTCACAGGGAGCACACCGTTAACATCTTATTCAAGGAGAGATTAAGGCTTAATCTGACAAAACTGCTACTTTAACCCTCAAACTGGGCTTCAATCAACTCCCAAGTGTACATAGAAATTATTAATTAATTAATGTATTTATTAATGAGGGAATTAATTTTATCACCCAGAATGAAGATATATTAAAATCAGTGTTTTAAAAGTGGCATCTAAAAAGACCTTTTAACACTTTTAAGACCTGCATGGGTTACAAATTGCTCTCAAATTTGAACTTATTTGTCATGTTAAAGTCCACAAATTTTTCATATTTCGTTGCAAGTCTATTTATTTATTTATTTAATTAGATTTTTTAAGTCTAACTTTAGCCTGTTTCTATGCTTTTTATTTTTTTTTATTCAAAAAATGTAAGTTATGAAAAAATAAAATGTCCACTTTTTTGATCTTTAAAAGGTCTTCTAAGGCACCCAACTGGAAAGGGCAATTCCACTGATTTTTCAGAGTTTCTGCAGAATTCAGTGTGTGGGATGTAAACAAAGTGATTCAGAGTGTTTTGGTGTGAAATGGTTCAGATTTATTTATAGTGGTGGTGATAGGAACGAGGGGTCGCCATGACTACAACACAAAAATAGACATTTTATTGACTATCCAAACCTACACGTCTTCTGAATTTCATATGTAATGTTGATGATGGCAAAATAGTGATAAATCTGAAATAATAAGTTTTCTTGGGACTATTTTGCCTCATAACATCTTGCATGTATCCCTCCACCATGAGTACATTTTTAAAAAGTGTGATTTTACAACGAAATCTTCTAAAAAATATCGTAAAACAATGTCTCAGACATCAGGCAGTGTATTCATAACCATTTCATGTAATAACTTTCTGTTTGGGGGCTTGTAGAGGTGGACGTCTGGTTCCTATCACCACCACTGTGAACAGTTCTGACTCGGTAAGATTCTCTAGAATGGAATTTTGGAGAATCGGTGGGATTGCCATTCAACTTGAGTGTAGATCTCAAGCAGACACCGTACCTGCTGTATGTTCATTGCTGTGGGTCTCTTGTTCCCTGTTGTGGTCAGTGCAGGTTCCCTGGTTGAGTCTGGCCCGGCCGTCTCCGCAGCAGTAGCGCAGGTCACAGTGACCGCAGCATAACACCGCCTCTCTCTTATCGATCTGCTCTGGACAGTGGAACCCTTCTCTCCACTGCGCCCTGGAGTCCCTCCAGCCATGACAGTACTCTCCACTGACACTGACCAGCAGAGTTACAGCCAAGGAGACAAGGAGAACTGCCACACCCAGCTCTTTCATCCTGTTTTGTGTTGAGACATATTTATCTAAACCACACTGTTAGAATTCTCAGTCCAAATATATATGTATACAGAACTGTCCACCCCTCATTTATTTAATTTCCAGCCAAAACAAGTTTTAAGTACAAGATAATCCTCTTGCATAAAGAGAAAGGAGTTCAAAACAATTGATTTTAAGCTACAAAGAAAAAGGGCCTCCTAACAACCACCTGGAAGACCTGGTAGACACCAAAACTGCCCCCATCAGATAAACAGCACTTAAAGCTTTCATCTTTGAGAGAGATGAGAAAATCAAGCTGCTTCACATCTGAAAACATCCACAGGTGCTTCTGTCCATCCTTCCACTGTGAGAAGACGACTCAGCGCTGTGGGTCTGAAAGGATGTGTAGCTGTCAAGAAGAACCTCACTGAGAAAAGGAGACGGACACACCAAACAAAGAAGCTGAACAATGGACCGCCCCAGAGTCCAGACCTCAACACCACTGAATGTGTTTGATTTCTTCAGAAAATGATCAACCAGCTTCTAAGACTGAACTTTGGAGGTGTGTCTGCAGATTTCTTAGAGAAACTGAAAGTGAGTCTCCTGAAAAGAATGGAAGCTGTAATAAAGGTAAAGAGTGACACACTGAACACACAAACAGCGGATATTAGATATAGTTGTTAAGGCTTCTGTGTGATTTTCTATTAAATATGTGTTTTCTGCGTTTTTTCTAAACACTGAAAAATTACTAACTTGTACTTAATGGCAGTTTTGGCTGGAAATAAAATAAATGATGGGTGTTTTCTGACAGTTCTGTATATATAAGACACCCCTGGTAAAATGTTATGTTCGTGTTGATGTTCTGAGTGTGAATAAGTGAACACATCCTCTACAGAGACACGTCTGCACATTTTAATACACATTCACTGTTTTTCTGCTAGACTGAACAGAAAATGTGGCCTGCACTCTTAAAAAGATGGTTCATCAAGGGTTCTTTAGTAAAGAAAATGGTTCTATATAGAACCATAAACACTCAAAGAACCATTTGCATGATTAAATGGTTCTGTGCATCATAAAAGAGTTCTGTAATGTGCTGTAGATGGTTGTGTGTAGAACCTTTTAGAAAAGGGTTCTATAAAGCCCCAAAAAGGTTCTTCCATTGTAAGAAGCTTGACATTGTCAGAAGCATAGAAAACACGTTCTCCGAAAATCTGAAGAACTATATATATATATATATATATATGTGTGTGTGTGTGTGTGTGTGTGTGTTTGTGTGTGTGTGAAAAAATGCTGTAATATGCAGTAATATTACTAATACACTTATTATCCAGATAGCTGGTTTTAAATAAATTGCTTAAGTTTGTAAATATAATTCTGATAGTTGCATTACTTTGTGTGGTCAATTGCCACTTTTTGACACTTTGACAATTTGACACTTAAGAGAAATTTCCCACATTTAAAAAGTTGTTACAGTCATAGTTATATGAGTAAACAAAGTAATCAGAACATTTTACAGGAAATAGAACTTACCTAACAGGTTGGAAAACACCATCAGCATAACAGAGTCCACTGACTGTAAGCTGCTCATTGGTAGCACTGCTGGGCTGTGAGTAGAGTAGGACCGTAGTGCTGAATCTGCCTAAAACCTAAATGCAGTTTCTGAGTTTGAGATGCGCCTAAAGCAGCACAGTTCGTATCTCCTCTCAAATCCATACGGAGTGGTCAGAGAGTACTCTCAGTAATCACTGTCATGCGCCCACTCGCAGCGCTGAGACACATCTACACATGACCACAAACATCACTGCCCATCCAGCACTGTCCTGAGCATAACCTTGCACAACTGAAGTACAGTACTGTGCGAAAGTCAGCGACCACCCTGACTAATTAACAATGGGATGGACTGTTCACGAGTCATGCAGACATCTTCTTTACCCAGACATTTGGTTTTATGAATAGCTAATATGTCTTCTTTTTTTTATATGATTATATTATTATATTTGATAGATTATAAACATAATCCAATATCTTGATGAAGTAAATTTTTCAGATTTCAGTGAGTCACTCTTTACCTTTATTCCAGCTTCCATTCTTTTCAGGTTGATCATTTTCTGAAGAAATCAAACGCATTCAGTGACGTTGAGGTCTGGACTCTGGGGTGGTCAGTCCATTGTTCAGCTTCTTTGTTTGAAGTGTCCGTCTCCTTTTCTCAGTAAGGCTTCCTGACAGCTACACATCCTTTCAGACCCATAGCGCTGAGTCGTCTTCTCACAGTGGAAGGATGGACAGAAGCACCTGTGGATGTTTTCAGATCTGAAGCAGCTTGATTTTCTCCTCTCTCTCAAAGATGAAAGCTTTAAGTGCTGTTTATCTGATGGGGGCAGTTTTAGTGTCTACCAGGTCTTCCAGGTGGTTGTTAGGAGCCCCATTTTCTCTGTAGCTAATCAGTTTTTGAACCCCAGTTTTGGAAACTCACCTGTTTTCCTTTTACTTCCTCCTTCCTTATGCAAGTGGAGTATCTAACATACTTAACTTGTACTTAATGATCGTTTTGATGGGAAATTACATAAAGTGTGGTCTCTGTTAAAGAGTGACTTTAGTTGTCTCTGACAGTTTCCAGTGTTTTTGGCTATTTCTGACTTCCACCAGCCAGAAGAGTTACATGAATTACAGCAGCACAACTAATTATATAGAAACCACCACAAGAAAAATAAACTAAAGACACATTTCAAAGACTTTCTACAAATATTTATTCACTCATGTAATTGTCACAGTATGTGTTTTATTGATGAATTCATTCATATTGATAACATCCACTATCTTTAAAAAAGGATCACTTGGAAACGAGGGTCTGCTGCTCTTCGTTTGTGCGTTCTTCACCTAAATTAAAAAAACAGCACAGTTAATACTTCTTGTTTAAAAATAAATATATAGGAATGACATATAGGAATCAATGTGGATTAATTAAACTTTTCTGTTTTTGTAACATTGTCCTAATTTTCATTGCAACGGCTTTTACTAGTATAGCACTGGGAGGTTACAGTTATATTAATGAAGTTCTTTAAAGTTCTTTTGTTAGGAGAATGAAATGTTTTGCAATGTAATTTCAATACATTGTAAACTCCCAGAAAAAAAAGTACTAAACTGTACTTTTTTGGGTGTAATTGCTGACACTGTGACGATACGCTTAACAGTATGTTTTAGTGCGTTTAGTTAGAGAACACAATTGTACCATATTTCATCTTCTATTAATTAATGAATGAATGAATGAATTAATTTATTTATTTATATTTTTTTCAAGTCTAACTCTAGCCTGTTTCTTTGCTTTTTATTTTATTTTTATTTAAAAATGAAAGTTACTTTTTAAGCACTTTTTTAAACTTTAAAATCTCTTCTAAAGTACACACTTGGAAAGGGGAATTCCACTGATTTTTCAGAATTTCTGCATAATGTTTCGGGATGAAATGGTTCAGATTTCTTTACAGTGGTGGTGATAGGAACCAGGGGTTACCATGACTACAACACAAATATATTATACTAATTTGCCTCATAACATCATGCATGTAACCCTCCACAATGAATGGATTTTTTAAAATATGTTTTAGGCCAAAACTATTGTAAAACAGTGTCTCATTCAATAACTTTCTGTGAGGGAGCTTTTAGAGGTGGACGTCTGGTTCCTATCACCACCACTGTGAACAATTCTGAATCGGTAAGTTTATCTAGAACAGAGCATTTCACACCAAACCACTCTGAATGACTCTGTTTACATCTTAAACATTTATTTATGCAGAAAAATCATTGTTTACACATTGGGGAACAAAAATAAACCTGCACAGGACCCTTTTTTTCTGACAGTTCATCAGATTGTACTGTTTCCGGTTTTTATGTATATGTATGAAATGTATTGGGGTCAATTTTGACAGATAATAAAGTGAATCTTGACTCTTAAATCTTGTTATGTGTCCACGCTTTTGACTGTTTCTGCACCTCTTTGGACGATTTAAAGAGTAATCTGAAGTGCAGACAGTCTCTACCTCCGTCTGCGTCCCATCAGCACCTGCCCCCCTCTCCAGCTCTGTTGGGGTCCAGCTCGTTCCCCATGCAGCCCTGTGCTATGTTCTTCTTGGTTCTCCCTCTGAACCTGCTCTGGTGACCCATGATGTCCAGCAGGAGGCGGGGCCAGACGTGACCAGGCTCCGCCCCTCGCTCCATAGCATGCAGGGGGTCCCCCTCTTTGGACACGTCCCGCTGGTCTCGCAGTAATGATGTCACAGCCTCGGCTGACCCCTCGCTGCCGTTGGCCTGGACCAAAGGCTGGGCCTCCTCTCTCAGACCAAAGAGCTCATCCAGAATCTGTAGAGAAAAGCTGCTTGTCATACCAAGGAAGACGCTCTGAACATTAAGCTGAGCGTTAAGGATAAATACACATGAAGAGTCGGCAGAGAGAGGCTCTCTCATTTTAAAGAAAGCAAAGTGTTCCCAAAAAATACAGTGTCTATATAGGATACATATACAAATATTAAATTAAATTAATTGACTAAGTTAAATTAATTACAGCCAAACACACAAAATACAGAACAGCACACAGATGATGGAAACAAAAAAGGAGAGAAAGAAAGTACAATAAAAGTAATGATGAGTTGAGTGAGGAGAAGAGGAAAAACAGGGGAGAGAAAGAAAGAAAGAAGAAAAAAGAGATGAGAAGAGAAGAGAAGAGAAGAGAAGAGAAGAGAAGAGAGTGGAAAAGAGGAGAGAACCGAATAAGAAAGAAGAAGATGAGAACATGAGAAGAGAGGAGAATAAGAGAGGAGAAGAAAACAAGAGAAAAGAAGACAATAGAAGAAGAGAGAAAGGAGAAGAAAAAAGAAAGAGAAGAAAAAGCAGAAAATGAAATGAAAAAGAAACAAGAAGAGAAAAGAAGATGAGAGAAGAGAAGAAAAACAAAAGAAAATGGGGGAAGAGAAGAAAAAAGTGGAAAAGAATAAAGAAGTGAAAAGAAGGAAAAAAGAAGAGAAGAAAGAATAGAGGGGAGAAGAAAAGAGGAAAGAAGAGAAGAGAATAGAGAGGAAAGAAGAAAAAAAGAAAAAGGAGAATAGAAGAAGAAAAACAAGAGAAGAGAAAAGAAGAAACAAGAAGAGAAGAAAAATGAAGAAGTAAAGGGTAGGAAAAGAAGAAAATAGAGGAGAAGAGAAAAGAGGGAGAAGGTAAGAGAAGGAGAAGAAGGGGCAAAGAGAAGAAAAAAGGGGGCAAAAAAGTTTGAAGAAGAGAGGGAGAAGTAAAAAAACAGGAGAAAAGAACAGGAGAGAAGAAAAAGAGAGGTTGTGGTTAACTTCCTGGTTCTAGTGCTGTAGTACTCTTGTATGCTTTGTAAAAGTCTTTTAATGTTTTTTTTTCCTGTGTATAAAACTAAAGCCACTTGCAGCATGAATTTCAATGATGTTTCAATTTGTCTAGAACTTTTATTAGAACATCAAAACAGTGATGAAAACCCCTGTAAAGATCTGAGAGACTCTCAGTACTTACTGTGGAGTCCAGCGGTTTGGAGGTGACCAGGACTGAAGAGGAGAGACAGAGGAAGAAGACAAGAAGATGAGAAGAAAGAGATCTTGGAGACGGAGGAGAGAAGGACACACCAGCCATCAGTGGCCTCGTGAAGGACAGAGTGTAAAAGAACGAGTTTTCAGACGTGTCTGGATAAATGTGGCTGGGTCTGGTTGAGCAACGCATCTGCAACACGTCTGTCTCTTCCAAAAAACTCCAGCAATCTTCCACAGCGTTCCTGAAGTCGGAATTCCGGGAATTTAGTGCACCTGCTCAGCCTGCCATCCACACTGCAGTAAGGACTGGGATCTGAGTTCATATCAGAGGTTTTATACACTGAGGTTGTGACGTGAAGAGTGTGGGGTTTTGAATAGAAGGCACGTTTTGTTCTTTCACTGCTCACTTGTCACTGACCTCTCCCACGGTCAGAACCCCCATGGTGAACTCAATTTCAAAATAATGCTGTATTTTTATTAATTTTTATTAATTATTTAATTCTCTGTTATTCTGTAATTCTGCGGAATTATTTTGAAAGTATTTTTGAAAGATTCTAAACTTTCAATCTGGACCATTTTTGTTCAAGTTCAAGAGCACAGTTTTATTATGATTTTTATTTGATAAAAGGTGGTTGTGTGTACAGTGTTGTTGACTGTTTGCCATGTTTTTATAATTTTAAAACATCAAACAAACAGAAAACATCAGAAATAAAGACTCAAATCATTACACTACATAATTACATTAAAAATCAGAGCAAATTTACAATAACTCCAGAATTTAACTGCTTAAACTGCTTATTATACAGTAACTACTCTAATTTAATCAGTATCTACTATGAATTATTCAGTATCTACTATGAATTATTGAGTATCTACTATAAAGTATTGAGTATCTACTATGAATCATTAAGTATGTATCATGGATCATTCAGTATCTATTATGAATTATTCAGTATCTACTACAAAATATTCAGTATCTACTGTGAATCATTTAGTATACACTATGAATTATTCAGTATCTACTATGAAATATTCAGTATCTATTATGAATCATGAAGTTTTTACTATGAATCATTCAGTATCGATTATAAATTATTTAGTATCTACCATGAATTATTTAGTACAAACTATGAATTATTCATATCTATTATAAATCATGCAGTAACTACAAGGACATATTCAGTGTCCACTATGAATTATTCAGCAAGTTCAGTAAATTCTAGTAATCTACTAATGGAACAAAAAAAAAAATCACAA